AAGCCTGGGCAACAAGACAAGAACAGCTTCAATCCAAGATCAGTAAAGTTTTTTGTTCAGACTGAGAACAGCTGAAAGACACTGTTAGCATGTTAGCATATCCATATGTCCTGCAGCCAACGAGATCATCTGCCAGAAGGAAGAAGCTGGAACATGGCTTATCCAGGGGCCAGAAGAGCCAATGGTTATTCTAAGAGCTGGATATAAGAGTCTGGATTCATAAAGAACCTCCGGAACAGACAGATCACAGTCCTCTTTCAGAGTGGAGTCTCTCTCTCTGGTCTCTTTCTGGTCTCTCTCTGGTCTCTCTCTCTGGTCTTTGCCTCTGGTTTCTCTCTTTTCTCTCTCCAGTCTTTTTTCCCTGGTCTCTCTCTGGTCTTTGCCCCTGATCTCTCCCTATAGACTCTCTCTCTGGTCTCTTTTTCTCCAGTTTATTTTCTCTGGTCTCTCTTTCTTTCTGGTCGCTCTCTTGTCTAGCTCTCTCTGGTCTTTCTCTCTCTGGTCTCTCTCTAATCTCTTTTCTCTGGAGTCTCTCTCTGGTATGTAATCTCTCTTTGGTCTCTCCCTGGTGTCTTGCTGGTCTCTCTCTCTCCCTCTGGCCTCTCTTTGGTCTCTCCCTGTTGTCTCTCTGGTCTCTCTCTCTCCCTGGCCTCTCTTTGGTCTCTCTACGGTGTCTCTCTTTAGAGTCTTTTCTCTGGTGTCTCTTCTCTGGTGTCTCTTCTCTGGTGTCTCTCTGGTTTCTCTCTGGTCTCTGAACCACACAGTTACAGAACCAACTAGCAAACAGTCAATGGTGCAGCGATAAAAGTGAAGCAGAATCTTAGAGTTTGTGTCTTTCCGACCTGAAGTTCTTTAGCGTCTCTTCTTTCTACAGAAACTTACGAACACTGTCTTTATTTGGCTCTACAGGAATCTTGGTGTCTGCACTCTGTAATCTGTGAGACGTGTGAGAGAGGCCTCTGCGGTCCGCCAGTGGTAACACATGTGACATAATGACATCCTGAACCAGAACCAGGACCGGGGACAGACCAGGGATAGACCAGGGACAGACCAGGGAAAGTCCAGGGTCAGGTCCTGCTCCAGACTGAGCTGCAGTGAGTGGGATCATGGTGGAACTCAGGAATTTAGATTTTTCCTCGGAATTATCTTTGGAGTCTGTGTGGCCAGAGAGAGAGTGTAGGTCTACAGCCAGGCGGTTGCATGTTCTCCACATGTCTGGGTTTCCTTAGGGCTCTCTGGTTTTAACATTAAGACAAAACTTCGCTTTTAAGTTCAGAGCTAAATGAATGGAGCTAAACCGTGTACGTGTAAACAGTGTATGGAGTGAAGAAATACTGACATGTGAAGCGTCTTTGAGTGTCCAAACAAGCCCTATGTAAAACGTATCATCATTTGTTTTACTAACTTTCTTAGGAGGCCCGCTGTAGTTCCCAGACTTGGACCAGGGGCTGATAACACGGACTTTAAAACTGTTTTGACTGGATTGGGTTCTGGGATGTAACATGCTGTGGCAGTATATCATGTCCATATTGACTCACACCATCGACCTTACTGCCTTCTGTGGAATTTTGTGACACAATCAATGACACATGTCAGTACATCCAAATATACTTAGCAACTGGATTCCAGACGTTCTGAGCTTTACAAGGTGTAGGTGAAGTTGGCTGGATGACACTGTGAAAGTACTTCAATGGTACTTTGATGTTATAAGGGAGGACGGCCACATGACATGACACAGCACTTAGGTTGGCAAACACAAAAGTCTCTCCACATTTGTAATGAAAGTGTCCAGACATATGGTTTTATCCAATAGTTATTGAACAGTATGTTAATGAAGCAAAACTTAGTCCTGGTCTCAGGTCTCTGCTTCCTGTGGCTCAGAGAATAGAGTTTAAAGCAGCTCTGTTTGTTACAAGTCTCTCCATGGCCTCGAACCAAAGTACATCTGAGACATGTTAGTGTCATATGAACCAACTCTGAGGAGCACAGGGACTGGCCTCCTGCTGGGACTCTGAGGAGCGCAGGGACTGGCCTCCTGCTGGGACTCTGAGGAGCACAGGGACTGGCCTCCTGCTGGGACTCTGAGGAGCGCAGGGACTGGCCTCCTGCTGGGACTCTGAGGAGCACAGGGACTGGCCTCCTGCTGGGACTCTGAGGAGCACAGGGACTGGACTCCTGCTGGGACTCTGAGGAGCACAGGGACTGGCCTCCTGCTGGGACTCTGAGGAGCACAGGGACTGGCCTCCTGCTGGGACTCTGAGGAGCACAGGGACTGGCCTCCTGCTGGGACTCTGAGGAGCACAAGAATTGAAACAGAAAATTAGGAACAGTTTTTCTGAAAATGTGAGACAGGCTTGTTCATCGACAATGTTCAAATCCAGGTTAAAAACAGTTCTGTTTCAATTACAAATCTGAGGGAGTTTTTTCCTCTCTTTTTAATGCACTGTGATTCTATGTCTTTTTTTGTTGATAATTTTGAGCCCTGCTTCTGTCCACCACAGACGCTCGCTGAGGTCACTCTCTTGTCTCTGGATAGTTTTTCGGGGCCATAATATTTTGAGAGGAGGACAGACTGTGTTGTCAGCAGCTGCCGGTCAGACAGAGACAGATCTGTGGAGCTGCAGCGTCCGTGTGTGTGTTTGGAGATTAGCACCAGCTCAGACTGAGACAGAGGTACCACACTTTACAGTCCATGGTCCAGACGCAGACTCACCCACACGGAAACTATGACCTTTGTGTCGCAGGGATCTGAGAGAGTGTTTAAATACTTATCAACATGTACCCGTCACATGTCAGGTCTCCGATACTGATCTCTCCACGGACTGATAAAAACAACTGCAGAAAACAATGAAGCTGGGGTACCGAAGCTTACTGTTCTGGTCTCTCTCTTCTCTCTCCCTGGACTCTTTCTGGTCTGTCACTGGTCTCTCGCTGGTCTCTCTCTGGTCTCTCTGGTCCCTCCCTGGACTCTCTCTGGTCTCTCTCTGGTCTCTCACTGGTTTCTCTCTTCTCTCTCACTGGTCTCTCACTGGTCTCTCTCTGGTCTCTCACTGAACTCTCTCTGGTCTCTCTCTGGTCTCTCTCTGTTCTCTCTCTGGACTCTCTCTGGTCTCTCTCTGGTCTCTCTCTGGTCTCTCTCTGGTCTCTCTCTGGTCTCTCTCTGGTCTCTCTCTGGTCTCTCCCTGGACTCTCTCTGGTCTTTCTCTGGTCTCTCTCTGGTCTCTCCCTGGACTCTCTCTGGTCTCTCTCTGTCTCTCACTGGTCTCTCTCTTGTCTCTCCCTGGACTCTCTCTGGTCTCTCTCTGGTCCCTCCCTGGACTCTCTCTGGTCTCTCTCTGGTCTCTCTCTCTGGTCTCTGTCTGGTCTCTCTCTGGTCTCTCTCACTGGTCTCTCTCTGGTCTCTCACTGGTCTTTCTCTGGTCTCTGTCTGGTCTCTCTCTTGTCCCTCTGGTCTCTCTCTCTGGTCTCTGTCTAGTCTCTCTCTAACCTTACTTTTCATGACAAAAACATATTGTTGGTCGTAATAGAAATAGAAACATTGTAACATTGTAACAAGTCAGTACACAATTTGCTCCATCTTATATGTTTGCACATTTAAAGATGTGAAAACTCTATTCTACCCACAACAAACCACTATCTAGGGAAATAGATCAAACCAGGACCAGGAGGGACTTAAAAAGGACCGGGTACTAGTTGTACTGGAGTAGGGTAGAGTAGAGTAGAGTAGAGTAGAGTAGAGTAGAGCTGGTGGAAGCAGGGCCTAATTATTTATTTGTTTCATATTCTAAGTTAAACTACAAAAATAAATGAACTTTTGCACATTATTCTAATTCTAGCTGTAAATACTGCATCATGTACAGCGTCACTTATTTCTGCTTGCACTGGGGTTTTTTTCACAACAATTTTCAAAACACATTCAGAGCTGTCACCTCTCTGACAGAGTGTGACATCACTCTCTCCTCACTGTGTGTTTGCTGGTTGTGCGTCGACACTTCTCGATGATTTGTGAAGCTGAAAAAACAGTGTGTTGTGGATTCTGGAGCATAACCCTGGCTCTGAGACCAGGTGATCTGTGGCTGCACTGGTCCAGGCCTGCGCGAGGCTCATGTAAGGACCAGTCTCTTTCTGGTCTGTCATGATCCCTCTCTGGTCTCTCTCTGGTCTCTCTGTTCTCCTTCTGGTCTCTTTCTGGTCGCTCTCTGGTCTGACCTCCTTCTGGTCTCTCTCTGTTGTCTTGCTGGTTTCTCTGGTCTTTCTCTCTGGCCTCTCTCTGGTCTCTCTCACTGATCTCTTTCTGGTCTCTATCTGGTCTCTCTCTTGTCTCTCTGGTCTCTCTCTCTGGTCACTCTGGTCTCTCTTGTCTCACTTACAGAGAGAGACCACTCTCTGGTGTCCCTCTGGTCTCTCTCTCTGGTCTCTCTCTGTGGTCTCTCTGGTTTCTCTCCTGCTGGGACTCTGAGGAGCACAGGGACTGGCCTCCTGCTGGGACTCTGAGGAGCACAGGGTCTGGCCTCCTGCTGGTGCCTAGAGTCAGGACTAAACATGAGGAGGCAGCGTTTCAGATTCATGCAGCTAAAAACTGGAACAGTCTTCCTGAAAATGTGAGACAGACTTCTTCGTCTCTGTTCATGTTCAAATCCAGGCTAAAAACAGTTCGGAAGGCTTTCATCTTCACTCTTTTTAATGTACTGTGATTATTTATGTGTATTTTTTCTCTCTTTTGTTGAGCACTTTGAGTTGCCTTGTGTATGACCTGTGCCACACAAAAAAACTCGCCTTGCCTTTCTGGTCCTGTAGTAAGCGTTTGGCCCCCTCCCTTGTGCGTGCCAGTCTGTTGAACCCTGCGGGACAGTAGCTTTAGACTCACCCTGTCATTACCTCCTTCCCTCTGATTATGGGCCTGCACCTGGGTCTCTCACACCTGGGTCCCTCACTCCCTCCCGGGGTCAGAGGGCTCCACAGGGCCCCCCTCTCCAGACTGCTCATTTCACGGCTTCATAATGTTTTGGTTTTATGTCCGTGAATCAGCCTGGAAGAATCCTTCAGACTTATGTAAGGGCACAGAGCTCACCTGTCGGGACAAGTCTCTGAGGGATGGGTATAGGGCTGGTCCTTGATGAGAAGAACAAAATATACTTTATGTAAATGTACTTTATAGTAGGGCGGTAATTAATGGTTATCTTAATGATGATAATTCGTCCCTCACAAAACTAATAATAGGGTTAGGGTTTTTTCGACACTAAAATACGCTTCATATGGGGAATAAAATACAATTATTAATGATAAAAAGGGGGAAAAGCTTAATTGAACAGTTTTAACGTTTGGTAGTGAGTCTGAGTTTTTGATGGGCAGTGTGAGTGAGATCTGAGGCTGGGGTGGAAATGGCAAAGGCTCTGTCCTTCATGGTCTGGTTAGTGCGGGGGATGGGGGTGAGGAGGTGAGTGTGGGTGATGGGAGTGAGGAGGTGAGTGCGGGTGATGGGGGTGAGGAGGTGAGTGCGGGTGATGGGAGTGAGGAGGTGAGTGCGGGTGATGGGGGTGAGGAGGTGAGTGCGGGTGATGGGAGTGAGGAGGTGAGTGCGGGTGATGGGAGTGAGGAGGTGAGTGCGGGGGATGGGGGTGAGGAGGTGAGTGCGGGTGATGGGAGTGAGGAGGTGAGTGCGGGTGATGGGGGTGAGGAGGTGAGTGCGGGTGATGGGAGTGAGGAGGTGAGTGCGGGTGATGGGGGTGAGGAGGTGAGTGCGGGGGATGGGGGTGAGGAGGTGAGTGTGGGTGATGGGAGTGAGGAGGTGAGTGCGGGTGATGGGGGTGAGGAGGTGAGTGCGGGGGATGGGGGTGAGGAGGTGAGTGCGGGTGATGGGGGTGAGGAGGTGAGTGCGGGTGATGGGAGTGAGGAGGTGAGTGCGGGTGATGGGGGTGAGGAGGTTAGTGCGGGTGATGGGAGTGAGGAGGTGAGTGCGGGTGATGGGAGTGAGGAGGTTAGTGCGGGGGATGGGGGTGAGGAGGTGAGTGCGGGTGATGGGAGTGAGGAGGTGAGTGCGGGTGATGGGGGTGAGGAGGTGAGTGTGGGTGATGGGGGTGAGGAGGTGAGTGTGGGTGATGGGGGTGAGGAGGTGAGTGTGGGTGATGGGGGTGAGGAGGGGGATGGGGGTGAGGAGGTGAGTGCGGGTGATGGGAGTGAGGAGGTGAGTGTGGGTGATGGGAGTGAGGAGGTGAGTGTGGGTGATGGGGGTGAGGAGGTGAGTGCGGGTGATGGGAGTGAGGAGGTGAGTGCGGGTGATGGGGGTGAGGAGGTGAGTGTGGGGGATGGGGGTGAGGAGGTGAGTGCGGGTGATGGGAGTGAGGAGGTTAGTGCGGGTGATGGGGGTGAGGAGGTGAGTGCGGGTGATGGGAGTGAGGAGGTGAGTGCGGGGGATGGGGGTGAGGAGGTGAGTGCGGGGGATGGGGGTGAGGAGGTGAGTGTGGGTGATGGGGGTGGAGGAGGTTAGTGCGGGTGATGGGAGTGAGGAGGTGAGTGCGGATGATGGGAGTGAGGAGGTGAGTGCGGGTGATGGGGGTGAGGAGGGTTAGTGCGGGTGATGGGGGAGTGAGGAGGTGAGTGCGGGTGATGGGAGTGAGGAGGTGAGTGCGGGGTGATGGGAGTGAGGAGGTGAGTGCGGGTGATGGGAGTGAGGAGGTGAGTGCGGGTGATGGGAGTGAGGAGGTGAGTGCGGGTGATGGGAGTGAGGAGGTGAGTGCGGGTGATGGGGGTGAGGAGGTGAGTGCGGGGATGGGGGTGAGGAGGTGAGTGCGGGTGATGGGAGTGAGGAGGTGAGTGCGGGTGATGGGAGTGAGGAGGTGAGTGCGGGTGATGGGAGTGAGGAGGTGAGTGCGGGTGATGGGAGTGAGGAGGTGAGTGCGGGTGATGGGAGTGAGGAGGTGAGTGCGGGTGATGGGGGTGAGGAGGTGAGTGCGGGGTGATGGGGGTGAGGAGGTGAGTGCGGGTGATGGGGGTGAGGAGGTGAGTGCGGGTGATGGGAGTGAGGAGGTGAGTGCGGGTGATGGGAGTGAGGAGGTGAGTGCGGGTGATGGGGGTGAGGAGGTGAGTGCGGGTGATGGGGGTGAGGAGGTGAGTGCGGGGTGATGGGAGTGAGGAGGTGAGTGCGGGGGATGGGGGTGAGGAGGTGAGTGCGGGTGATGGGGGTGAGGAGGTGAGTGCGGGTGATGGGAGTGAGGAGGTGAGTGCGGGTGATGGGAGTGAGGAGGTGAGTGCGGGTGATGGAGTGAGGAGGTGAGTGCGGGTGAGGGAGTGAGGAGGTGAGTGCGGGTGATGGGGAGTGAGGAGGTGAGTGCGGGGTGATGGGAGTGAGGAGGTGAGTGTGCGGGTGATGGGGGGTGAGGAGGTGAGTGCGGGTGATGGGAGGGTGAGGAGGGTGAGTGCGGGGATGGGGTGATGGGGAGTGAGGAGGTGAGTGCGGGTGATGGGGGTGAGGAGGTGAGTGTGGGGTGATGGGGGTGAGGAGGTAGTGGGGTGATGGGGTGAGGGTGGGTGATGCGGGTGATTGAGGGATGGGGGGAGGGGGTGAGGAGGTGCGGGTGATGGGTGAGGAGGTGAGTGCGGGTGATGGGGGTGAGGAGGTGAGTGCGGGTGATGGGGGTGAGGAGGTGAGTGCGGGGTGATGGGGTGAGGAGTGAGGTGATGGGGTGAGGAGGTGAGTGTGGGTGATGGGGGTGAGGAGGTGAGTGCGGGTGATGGGGTGAGGAGGTGAGTGCGGGTGATGGGGGTGAGGAGGTGAGTGAGGGTGATGGGAGTGAGGAGGTGAGTGCGGGTGATGGGGGTGAGGAGGAGGTGAGTGGGGTGATGGGAGGTGAGGAGGTGAGTGCGGGTGATGGGGGTGAGGAGGTGAGTGCGGGTGATGGGAGTGAGGAGGTGAGTGCGGGTGATGGGAGTGAGGAGGTGAGTGCGGGTGATGGGGGTGAGGAGGTGAGTGCGGGTGATGGGGGTGAGGAGGTGAGTGCGGGTGATGGGGGTGAGGAGGTGAGTGCGGGTGATGGGAGTGAGGAGGTGAGTGCGGGTGATGGGAGTGAGGAGGTGAGTGCGGGTGATGGGGGTGAGGAGGTGAGTGCGGGTGATGGGAGTGAGGAGGTGAGTGCGGGTGATGGGAGTGAGGAGGTGAGTGCGGGTGATGGGAGTGAGGAGGTGAGTGCGGGTGATGGGGGTGAGGAGGTGAGTGCGGGTGATGGGAGTGAGGAGGTGAGTGCGGGTGATGGGAGTGAGGAGGTGAGTGCGGGGATGGGGAGTGAGGAGGTGAGTGCGGGTGATGGGGGTGAGTGTGTGTGTGTGTGTGTGTGTGCGGGTGATGGGAGTGTGAGTGCGGGTGATGGGGGTGAGGAGGTGAGTGCGGGTGATGGGGGGGAGGAGGTGAGTGCGGGTGATGGGAGTGAGGAGGTGAGTGTGTGTCTGTGTTTGGAATGCATTACATATGAATCTCAGAGTGAAAAATACCTCACCTCCAAACACTGCGCTCTGCATGTGGTCCTCTGCGGCGCACTGGGATCCAGTTACAGCCGGATCAAGGAGTCGCACGCTAACATGCCCCAGCTCACCGGGACAGAGAGGGGAGAGGGGAGAGGGGGGGGGGGGGGGTGGAGAGGGGAGGAGAGACTGCCTCTGCTCACCAGTTTTGTGTGTAAAGAAATTCACCATGGCTCAATCAATCTGATATTGGAAAGATCAGATTGATTGAGCCAACTGATCCATTTTCATCAGTTTGTGCTAAACCAAAACAAATATTTGTATCTGCCGGACACAACATTTCTGTCTATTGATCCAGACCAGAGACGAAACGATGCATGGACCCCACCATACAGACCAAGCAGAAATCCAGTGAAGCAAAGCTAATTTTATTTTGAAAAATGCTAATACAGCATTCAGAATTTCACTCTGAACCAGAGCAGAGAAAATGGTCCGACCGAAGCAGACTCAAAATACATCAACCAGAGGATAAGAAGCAGCTCATCACCAGTGACCACACCACCTCTGCTGCTGACTTTCTATCTATCCATCTATCCATCTATCCATCTATCTATCTATTTATGAATCTATCTATCTCTCTATCTATTTATGAATCTATCTCAATCTATCTCTGTGTCTATCTATGTATCTATTCATATATCTTCCTGTCTCTCTGCACTGGAAAAAATACCACTGACGATAAAATTGCCAGTTGGAACTGCAACTGTCTGTTGTGAGCCACTTGAACTCACTTTCAGAAGTTTATGATGAAAAGTTCATCTTATTTGATAAATTAAGTTGATTTTACTTTGAAGTTGTAGTGAACTTCTGAAAGTGAGTTCAAGTAGCTCACAAGTAAGTAAGTAAGTAAGCTTTATTTACACAACAGACAGTTCCAGTTCCAACTGGTGATTTTATTGTCAGTTAATGCAAAAATCTGAGTAAGGTGAACTAGTTGTCGTTTTTACAGTTCACCGAGCTAGAGTGAGGTCAACTTATCTGCGTTTGCTCATTTAAATATTTGTCATGGCAACCAGCTGTGTTCATCATTTTAAAAAACTAATTTGACCAAAAAATCATTGTATTTATTTTTACCAACCGTAATCGACGGGGCCAAGCCAAAGTAGCCCTGTATATAGCCTGGGTCAGTCTTAGAAACATTTGTTTTCCACTAATCGGGTTCACAGTGTGCTGCACAGTGGCTGAGTGGATGGCACTCTCGCTTCTTGACCCGAAGGTCCTGGGTTTGAATCCCGGTCGGAACACGGCCTTTCTGAAGGGAATTTGCATGTTCTCTGTGTCTGCACAGGTTTCCTCCGGGTGCTCCGGTTTCCCCTGCCCAGTGACCTTAGTGTGTAAAGTGCACTATATAAATTAACATCATGATGGTTTAATGTGGGGGCTAATTTAAACTCAAAATAGTAAGTTATTGTAGGAGACAGTAACTGTATCTCTTTATATACTGTATATATTATTTATAGATACTGTATGTACTGTATGTACTGTATGTATGTGTCCATCCACCCAACCATCTATATGCGCAGCTATCTCTGTATCTATCTGTCTATATTTATCAATATATGTATCCAGCTATCTATCCATCCATATTCATGCATCTATCTCTCTACCTTTCTACAGAGTGGCCTGAATTTTTCACAACATTCTCTTCCTGTTGGGACAAACAGCAAGTATTATTAATGACACACAACAAAAAGTTAAGTGCCCCAGCTTTACTCCTTCCTTTCATCCATCCTCTGTGCATGCCGGTGTCTTTGACTGCCTTGAAGTGGACATATTACCGACAAAAAACCTTACCTCAGCATTCCTCTCATTCTTGCAGACTTAAACCATCTCCAATGTTAACCTTTGCCAAATGATGCCCCGAACCAACTGCGGCGCCGCTTTCAAACCCCGTACATCTGCTCATTGCTATCTGTTGACCCGCGGATCTCACATCATAAACACGAGAGCTGGAGGAAGCAACGACGTAAGACCGAGTAACCGTCCTGTAATACCAGAGCTTCGTAATTAGCAAATTGTTTTATTGACATACCGAGAGTGTTATAGCAACTGGTGGGTACACAACATCCCCAAACAACAGCCTCTTTGACTCAGATTGGATAATTACATGTGGGCGCGGAGCATGACTTCTGCAGGGTGAGGGCTAAGTGGCGGCTGGGGAATAAGCACAACCTCCTACAAAAGACATTTACTGAATGTTGTGGAATGACATGAGACTTACTATTTTTAGCATTTAATATGAAATGTCTTTGATATTAATACACACCCAGTTTAGCACCTGGATGGACCGGGCTTCGGTCGATAATAATGCACCGGTTTTATATAGCGCTTTTTTGGACACTCAAAGACGCTTTACATGGCATTATTCTTTCACTCCAAACACGGTAGTGATAAACTACTACTGTAGCCACAGTTGCCCTGGGGCACACTGACAGAAGCGAGGAAACCAGTCTGTGCCATCGGCCCCTCCCACTACCACCAACCAGACTCATTCAAGGCAATGGGGGTAAAGTGTCTTGCCCAAGGACACAACGACAGCAGACAGTGGGAGTCGATGGTAAAAGTCGGGCTCGAACCCACGACCCTCTGGCTGTTTAGTGTTGTCATTGACGACAGCGTTACCTTCAAGTGAGTTGTAGTTTATTGCATCATCTCTGTATCATACAGCTGTGTATTATACAGCTGTGTATCACACAGCGGTGTATTATACAGCTGTGTATCACACATCTGTGTATCATACAGCTGTGTATCATACAGTACAGCTGTGTATCATACAGTACAGCTGTGTATCACAGCTGCGGCCGTTCACTCCGTACGCACAGAAGTCATTGCAACACATCAGTACCATGTGTAACTCCGCCCTCTAGCAGGGCCTGTGTTCGTATCAGTGCACGGCAATGTATACTGCGCTAAAACATTGTTATGGGAGGTCAAAAAAAAAGATTAGGAAGTTGATACGGGTTTTGGGCCTGAGAATTCAGAAACCATGTCGGGCCGGGCTGGACCGGGCTCGGGCCCAGATAATAGGCTCGTGCAGGGCTCTAGCCCTGTGTTCATGACACTACCATCGATGGTACGAGACAAACAAGACTACACACACTACTTGCCCTGTGTTGAAGGCATCACTCTTAATAGTCTTTTACTATGCGTTACTATGCAGTTACTATGCAGTTACTATGCAGTTACTATGTCGTTACTATGTCGTTACTATGCAGTTACTATGCAGTTACTATGTCGTTACTATGCAGTTACTATGCAGTTACTATGCAGTTACTATGCGTTACTATGCAGTTACTATGCAGTTACTATGCGTTACTATACCGTTACTATGCAGTTACTATGCCGTTACTATGCCGTTACTATGTCGTTACTATGTAGTTGATGAAACACAAATCAGTTCTAACAGTTTGTCTTATCTTGCCGTGAGCCCAGACTATATTCAGCCAATCCATAATCTGAAACTGTTACTTTAAACATAAACTCGATCCATAAAGGCCCCTCACCCTCTCCTCGTGTTATCAGACAGACAGAACAGCCGCGGAGGAGGAGCAGATGTTTGCCAGCTGTGTCCCTGGATCAGGAAAGAGGATGTCTCAGAGCTACCTGGCCTTAAGCTCTCTGCATCTGCCGTGGCATCCCAGGAATTCCTTTGTTCCCATCACTTCATCCTGAGCCAATAAACCCACAGATTCCCCCGCTCCAAACGCACGGATCCAGCCTGGGCTCAGAGACACTGACGGCCACAGATCCTGAAGTCCACACGCTAGTCCCGGTCCTTTTGATCGGGTCTGGAACTGGTAACATTGTGTCTGCTCTGGTTGGATGATTCTGGTCTGAAACAAGATGTAGAGGAGAGACCAGCGGCAAAGTGGAACTGCATCAGAATGTACGGAGAGAGTGAAGATTCCTTTTCAATTTAATTTTGTGCAACAGTAGTAATTACGGAGGACTTTACAAAGTTGTTGATAATTGAACAGAAACACAGCTACATTAGTACATTCAGTCTGGGAGATCAGGAGACAGCCTCAGTGAGTCATCTGAATCCATCCTCCAGCTGCTGTCCGTGCAGTAACCCACCTCCTCCCCGTGATCGCCTCATCAGAGGAGAATTTTCATGTTCTCCTGTGCTTTCTTTACCACCGGGGTCTCGACCAGATGGACTCCAGCCCCGGGGTCTAGACCTGAGAGACTCGAGCACCAGGGTCTAGACATGAGACACTCCAGCACTAGGGTCTAGACCTGAGATACTCCAGCACTAGGGTCTAGACCTGAGATACTCCAGCACCAGGGTCTAGACCTGAGATACTCCAGCACCAGGGTCTAGACCTGAGAGACTCCAGCACCAGGGTTTAAACTTGAGATACTCCAGCACCAGGATCTAGACCTGAGAGACTCCAACACCTGGTTCTAGACCTGAGAGGCGGAAGTACCAGGGTCTAGACCTGAGAGGCGGAAGTACCAGGGTCTAGACCTGAGAGGCGGAAGTACCAGGGTCTAGACCTGAGAGGCGGAAGCACCAGGATCTAGACCTTTGAGGCGGAGGCACCAGGGTCTAGAATCCGGTGGTACACATACTCAGAGTTGACAGCTAATTAAGTGCTAATTAGTGTTTCATTTGGTTATCTTTAAATTGGTATTAATTAATCACATATCAGTCCTTAAAGTAGTACTAGAATTTAATATGCTGCTATCCAGAATATATAACTACAATATGTGTTTATAATATTTCGGGTGTTCATTTTGACATGTTCAGATAAATTATGTTAAAAAAACTGCTCTGAAGTGGCACCTTTTCACTTCCGCATAGAAACGCTGGGGGGAGCCAAAATGGCGGCGATGACGTAGGAGAATGACCTCTCACAGCAGCAGCAGCAGTCTGGGCTGAATCTGTAGGAGGTTTCACTGTCATCTGAACAAGGTATAAACATATTTACATCCGTTTTGTACATAATAGTGCGCAACTCTTTTAACCTTTTAGCCTTATTTGTGAGATTCAA